TCGACATGGGAACAGAGACGTGCCGCTCGAATGAGTTGTGATTTGACAGTACTACGATGAATATGACGTGGATGATCCGACAAAAATGGTAGAATATATGGTTCAGCTGCTGGTTTATGAAATACTGAAGTTCTCAATTGACCTTGATTATTTTCGACTAGTACATCGAGAAATTCCACAGTTGAACTAATCGTATGAGTTATTCTAATGTTTTCATCTTGCTGATTGGCTATATTGAGTCGAGCATTGATTTCATCAAATGGCAAGTTAGTCGTCATAAAGACGTCGTCAATATAACTAATGAGAAAATAAAACAAAAGAAGAAAAAACTTGAAAAAGTAAAGTAAAATAGATTGTATAATTTACCGGCCGTAGAGTTCCTTATGTATTTTTTGATGTTCAATTAATGAATGTTCCCAATCCCACATATAGATATTAGCTAATGTCATAGTAAATGGTGATCCCATAGCCCCACCACGAATTTGTTGATAATATTTCTTTTCGTAGACGAAACAATTTGTATCTAAAACTAGACGAGCAAGTCGCGTTATAGTATCGATTGTCATTCCGTGAATTCGACGATTTTCTCCATGTTTGTATAAGAATTTTTGTAAAGCGATTATAGCTCCATCACGAGGTATCATAGTATAGAGATTAGTCACATCGAAAGTAACCAACAGTGTTGTTGGCAAGAGTCGACCACTATTTCGATAAGTTTCCATTTGTCGAACAAAGTCAATTCCATTCAGAAATATAGTTTCCTTTGCTACTCGGTTAAACATGGGACGAAGTAAAATATCTAAGAAGTGTGAAACACCAGTTGCTGCTGCTTTTATTGACGACACAATCGGTCTCAATGGTGTACCAATCTAGAAAGAGAAAGAATAGAAAATAGAAAAGAACATGCATATATTGAAATTATTCTTTCGGAAATTTACTTTGTGTGGCTTTGGTATAAAGTATAGATGAGCTAATTCAGTTGTGGTTACATTTGGTCGCATATATTGTTTCCATATTTCAAGATTAATCTCTCTTTTTTTCAACATCGGATCGATTAATGCTAGGACTGTTTGTACATGATTCTGACATGGATTAATACCACTTGTTATTTCTCTATAGGCATTGGTTTCATGGATGTATTGTAGTGCTTTTTGATGATAATCATAAACACAACCTAAATGAAATACTTTACTTTTGTCCGTTATTCGTAGAACCACATTGGACTTTTTGAGTTGACGTTGGATACTTTTGATCATTCGATGTTCATATTGAGCACGAGCGAATAATTTCGGAGGTAAAGGAGTTGTGTAGAAACGGCGAATAAGATTTTCTACAGCAATAAAGAAGTCTTTCGCTTGTGGATCGGAATATGAAATACAATTTTTTTTAAGGCCATTTTCAAAACATTGAACAATATTATCATATTCCCGTGTAACAAATTTATCAACGGTTGGACCCGAAAAGCGACTTTGACATGGTGGCACATATTTAGGACCCTTGGTAACGTAAGTGACTTGTTTCGATTTAAGAGAAGAAGCTACTTCGATGATAGCTCTTCCTTTTTCTTTTTCTTTTTCTTTTTCTTTTCCTTTTTTATAAACTAGTATTTGTGACCAATAAGTATGCAATTGAATTTTTAAATCCGTTATAGTTGCATTGGCTTGAGCAACTATAGCTGATAATTGATTAATTTTCTTTTTTACAAATTGTGTATTGACTATATCATCACGTTTTTTAGTACGTTGAATAATTTCTTTTGCCCAATGTTTATTTTCAGTACCCATTTTTAAATAATTTTCCCAAACTTGTATATCATAATTAGCTCGAATCCATTCATCATATATAGGAATTGAAGCCATTAAATAAGCATGATTACCACTTTTTCCAATAATATTATTAGTTGCTGTTGATGTATTATTTTCTATCCATGCCAATATACGATCATATATTAAATATGATCGATTTTTCTTTTTCTTTTGATTTTTCTTACTAATATTTGTAGCAAGAACTGGTTCATTTTCATCAACATCTGATACTAAATCAACATTGTCATCATTGTCAAGATTATTTTCAGCCAATACAGCAAATCGATTATTTTCAATAATATTTTGATTTTGACGATATTGTCGTTGGCGAATTCGTCTATTTCGACGTCGAAATGATGATGTTGTTGTAGTTGTTTGTTGTCGCTGTTGATTTGAACCATAGCCTTGCTGTTGTCGTTGTCCATTTACATTTGTATTGTTGACAACAAACGGTTGAGTTACATTTGAAGCAAAAATGGTACGTTGTGGTAATGCATCAACTGGCACATTATTAAAATTTGAAGCTGTAGTTATAGCTGTATTTGTTGTAGCTAAATTAAAATCATTAGGAAGATTTGGTGAAGGTTCACGTAGTTCTTGTGGCATAAAATCATTTAAACGTATTTGCCTTGTAACACGTCTACGCTGTTGTCTTGATCGACTTCGTCTTTGATTTGAACGACTTCCTGAACGTTGATTTTGACTAATTCTTGTAGCCGATGTTCTTCGAATAAATCTTCTCTGTTGTTGTGCCATAGGT